CCCATGGTAATGGCTGTCATGACTCTGGTTTCCATGACCTATTGTCACCATAGGTAGTGGGTGTCATAGTTACTATTGGGTTGGAGATTAGACACAGGGGCTGTAGGCTGATTACTCCAGGAAGCTGTCATAAGCTGTTGGAGCTGCTGAGTCAGCTCTAGGACCTGTGCTTGAAGAATAGAAATGGGATCAGGGAATTCTTCTGCTTGTTCCATAATGGTGGATATGGAATAAGGCAGGTGTTGGGTGTGTGTGGTAAGAGTAGAGGCAGGTAAGAGTAGAGGTGGAGTGGTGAAGCAGAGGTTGTCACTTGGAGACTTGGTCTTCTGTTAGGGCAACACAGGCTGACTAAGTCTGCTCACCTAAGAGTGCCAAGAGTCTAAGCAGGCAACAAGGAAGTGGAGTAGACCTGATGACTAAGACCTATCTACAGTATAGGTATCTGTGGATGATCCTAAGAGACCAAGTCTGAAGAGACAGTCCCAGGCAGAGTAGGCCTTATATTTATACCTCTGTGGTGGAACCTGCTAGAACATCTTGCTTACTCAGCCTAGTCAGGTGATCAGGTCATATGACCAAGGATGAGGTCATATGAGGTCATGCACAGCCATGCACAGCAGGTCACCTGACCATCCAATCCTTCCAGCAGGTTCCAGCACATGCCAAGGTATACCAGCTACTTCCATGTCATAAAGGCTTAGTCATGTCTCTTGACCAAGCAATGAGCTGGTGCCCTGACAGATGCCATCCCAGACCTGCCAAAACCCTGTACCAAATGTGCTGAAAATGCAGAAGATGAGATGGTCTTGCAGGCACTCTTGGTTACTCTCACAGAAACCCTGGTTGAAGTGCCCAGCAAGGTCCTAGCATTGGCATGTCCCCTCTTCAACAAGGTGCTCAAGGAAGCCCTGCTGAAACAAGCCCATGATGACAGCAGTCACAAAGGTTTCCAGACTGTTGCTTGTATCCTCCATCTCTGATTTTGGTGGCCCAACCTATGTGCAAATATCAAGTGGTACCTCCATACCTGCCATGCATGTCAAGTCCACAGCATTTGGAAGGTCCTCAAACCTCCAACAGTCGACTATCTGGCTCTGCTTTTCTCAAAGATTTACTGCAGTACCATGAAGATGCCTCCCATGAAAGGCTACACTTGCATTGCTCAAGTCTGCTGCTCCCTCTCCTCATATCCCAAATGGTGTCCCTTAAAATCAGAGACTGCAACGGCCCTTGCATTGTTCCTCTTCCATGATGTTATCTGCCACTGGGGAAATATTGCAGAGATTGTTACTGACAATGGATCAGCCTGGGTAGCTGCTGTCAAGGAACTGGCACAATGCTTTGGCATCTGGCACATCTGAATTTTGCCATACAACTCTTGTGCAAATGGTGCAGTCAAATCAAAACATTTTACAGTTTGACAGGCAATTCTGAAAGCATGCAGAGACAATATCAAGCAATGGCCTGACAAAGCACCTACCACATTCTGGGCTGAGCGAATTTTGGTCCAGCACAGCACCGGTCTCTCCCTGTATTTCATTGCACATGGTGTTCACCTGGTCTTCCCCATGGACTTCAAGCAAGCCATGTTCCTCGTGCCCCCACCCAAATTCCCTATAACTGACAGTGACAAGCTAGCCTACAGAATTCGACAGCTCAAGCATCACAAGTCCAATTTATCTGAGCTCCAGGAGAAGGTTCACCAAGCCTGCCTGAGAGCTGCAGACTGATTTAAGGACAACAAGCACATCCTCACTGATTATGACTTCAAACCTGGCACCCTGGCCCTCATTTGCAATACTTGGATAGAGAAGGAGCTCGACCAAAAATCCAAGCCCCAATTTCTTGGACCTATGGTTGTTGTTACCTGTGCCACCTGCAGCAGTTATGTGATCACTGATTTGGATGGGGCCATCCTCAAAGCCTGCATCACAACAGTTCTGCATTTACCTGTACCACCAACAATCTGAACACACCCCCACCTTACCCAACATATTGCAGCAGACATCTGCCAAAATCCTGAAGACCATGAGAGACATGTTGTCAACTACCACAGAGCCTGACCCCAAATAAATAGTGCAGACCTTATACCCACAAGACTGTCAAACAGCATGCATGTACCTCCTGACTTCATCCCTCATTTTCTTTTGTTTCCCTGAGATATATCTACTAAGTCCACAGGCGGACTCAGTAGTATGGTAACAACATGATCCCTACTCGAATACCTGCGAATTCCTATGATATACATGACATCTGAATTACAGAAAAAAAAAAAAAAACAGGGTTTGAAGTCACATGTCTTGAGGCACACTGCAGTAGCATCAAGTGGACAAGATGGATTACCTTGAATTTTGCTTAAGGCAAAATTTGAATCTACAAGAACATGAAGACAGAACTATGCTACGATTATGACTACTGGACAAATTATGACACAAGGAAAAGACAGAAAAGAAAAGGCAACAAAAAAAAAGAAAGACCCTGCTTTACTCAGTCAGAGCTTTCCCCAGGAGAGTCTGAACTTGATCTGCCCAGCCCATCGCAGTGTTCACCACTTTCTGCACAGTGTCCACTGCTTTTTGAGCTATCTGCAGGCTCTTCCGGAGCTTGAGCATCTTGTGCTCTGCCATACGGAGCGGCATGACCAGCAGCTTGACCTCTACAAGTTCAGTTAGCATCACCCAAATATGAACTACAGATGGAAAGGACTTACCGGCCTCCAGAAGGCGGGACCACTTGAGTGACAGGCCAACCAAGTCCTTGTTGTCCTCCTGCTCATGCTTTTTGGGCTTCACCAGCATGTAGCTGTGCACCGGCTTCTGCTTTTTCTTCTTGGCAGGCTTTTCAGTGGGTTTTTCAATGGGCTTGGGCTCAGGAGTCTCCAAGAGGAAAAGATCCTCCACAGACACTGGAGGCAAAGCCATGGCCTTGGCGAGACATGCTGAAAGGGAGTCTGTAAAGGTCAATAAAAGCAGCAGAATAAGCAGTGTACCTGTACACACGCTGCAAGGCTTTTTTGCTGCCTTGCACATCAAGCAAATTACCTTATTGGCCACCTCCACAATATCGCACTTGTGGTGCACCTTACCGTCCTTGACAATGGCATGCTTGCAACACAACATACACTGCCAAAAATGTGTCAGAAAAGTTAAGCAGTGCACAAAAAGCAGGGACAACTCATGCAATTTTCAGCCACAAACAACTCCAACACTGTGGCATCCATTGTTGCCAACAACACCTTTACCAGTGTCTCTTCTGGCATCCACCCCTGCAATAATTTGGTCAGCATCTGTAAGCACAAAGAGGAAAGCAGGTGACTTACTGCATTGCAGGAGTCCTCCTTCATTGGCCTCCTGCAGGCCCTGGTTGCAGGTGACGTCTTATCCATGCCATTGTTGAGGTGCCGCATGACTGCCTTTGCCAGCATCGTCTCCTTTGCCTTTGCCTTACCCTTTTCAGCCTTTGCCAGCAGGCTGGCCAGGCTCCCCAGGGATGTCTGCATAATTCGGGTTAGTAACAGGCACCAGCTTGCAAAAAAGGAAACATGTACCGAAAAACCAGACAACATTGCCTTAAACTTCTTCTCCTCCTCATCCTCTTCCTCCTCCTCTTTGGCCGGTGTGGACAAGGCAGCCAGCTCCTCTTGCTGGTCAAGGGCAAAAAGTTGGACCCACTTCTCAGGCAAATTGCAGACAAGGGCAGACTGAGGACTATTGAGGAGCAATGTGACTGCATTGCCAAATGGCATGATGTCCGGATACTTCACCAACAGCAAGAATCCAGGATCCTCTGCATCTTCACGCATGTGGGCAATGATAGCAGCAGTCATCTTCAGCATGCCAGTGTGCTCATCTTTTGGCAGTGCTGGCTTGGCAGCAGACTTGCAAGTGCTGGACTTTGCCATTTTGGAGCATTGGGATGTGAGGAAGTGGAGGCAGGGGTTCAGTTGAGATCTGCAGGGACAGGAAAGGCAAAATTCAGTCCCATTTATAGGCACAAGAGCCCCTCAACAGAAAACAAAAATATGCATGGGCCCTGCTAAGTGCCAATATCCAGAACACAGTTTCAGCAAAGGCAGTGCCAATAAACACCACACTGGGCTTTGCAAAGCAAGAATGTGGCCAATCAGGGTCTCAGGCACCATGTGACTCAATGCAACACACATGGTCAGGGTCCCTCTTGCAGACTTAGGCAGCACTGCAAGCCACCACTTAGGGTCTTCACATGCTGGCCAGCCACCCCATGTGCCAAATGTGCAGCAACACCCTTTATCAAATATGCTGATGCCGCCATTTTACCAGTGCCCCCATATGCAGCCCAATGTCTTACAGCAGAGAGTCTCGTGATTGGTCCCTGATAATGCTGCTCTTGCCTAACTCGATATTTGGCGGTACCACACTGCATTCCTGGCTGTGCAATTATGTCAACTGGAGCCCCACTGACTCGGGGAGTCAGTATTCAAGGTTTGGGGGGGATGAACAGCCCCACCTCCAGTGGGGTGTGTCAGGCTGGTATTCCCACAGCTATTTTCAGGCCTTAGAGATTGTTGCAAAGCACTATGGGCCCTCACTATGCAGACAATGCAACCCAGCAACAAGTCTCAACTCCCCCGGATATTCAGCATGGTGACTACTATGATTTCCCAAGCAACGGGACCACTTGGATATTTGGCATGACAACTGCAGGTTTCCCCTGCAATGGGATCAACCCACACGGATATTCAGCATGCCAATGCCTGCCTAGGAGAGGGATCCAGAGACCAGATTAGTATGGAGTGTGGTTTTCAGTAGCTAGTATAAGTAGTTTCCAGAAACTCCTGTATCTAGCTTATTCTGCCCCTCTTCTGATAGACTTATACAGATCTGATTATTTGTATACTGGCAGATTTGACTTGACTTAGCAGATTTGACTTGACTTAGCAGATTTGACTTGACTTATCATGACTTGACTGGATGGACACTGAGCTCCAATTATTGCATGCTGACTATCAATAGCTCAGCTACAGGCTGACTCCCGCATTTTCTACTGACTTTCCCCCATCTCTCCCCTCTTTCCCCAGTGAGTTCTTGCACACCACCCATCGGACCAATATTTCGGACACCTCTTGGGTTGGATCAGCATGCAAAAGAGATGGCAGAGACAGTCTTCAAAAGCCATGTGCTTTTTGGCTTGAAGGATGGATGGCATGCCACCATAGTAGACCCAAACCTCCTCTGCAGCTTGCTTCTCACAGTAGAAGTTGAGGTAGTAGGTCATCCTGCATATCCTGCAGTGCAAGGATATGAGGACAATGGGGATTGTGCCCTGGGCCAGCATATACAACATGGCAAAGTGCTGGTTGCAAAGGGTCAACATGGCATGCATGCCAGTGCAAACATGGTGGGGACAGGCATCCCTGAGGCATATTTGGGTTGGAGGGTAGAAATGTTTGATGCCTAGTAGTATATAGATGAATGGGAGATAAGGGGAATGAAAGGAGGAGCTCACCAAGGTTGTATTTCTGTGCAAAGTGTGCAAAGAAAGGGAGGGGATCTACCAGAGGGCCAGTAGGACGCATAGGATCCCTGTCAGGTGTTCAAGCAGTCCACTGAAGAGCTTGCCAGAGGACAGGAATGTGCCCTGGTGGGAGCCCAAGCAAATCAGAGAGGAAAGCTGCAACTGTGTTCAGTATCACAGCCAGTGGAGTGTTGAGGTGTTTGATGCCAGGGATTTCTTGCCAGGTAATGCACATTTGGAGGTGCTGGCAGAGGGTGATGAAGAGGAGGGCTTGCTGGACAGTGAGTTGTGGCAAGGACTCATGTGCTGCCAAAAGCTGGCGAATGAGGTTGAGGAGTCACATGGTGGGTGGGGGAGTTGGTATGAGGAGAGGAGGGGAGGGGAGTTGAGGGAGGGAGGAGTCAGCAAGGGGCAGTGGATTGGCAGCAAGCTCAGGTGGTTGGATGACAATGAGAATGACTGGTGCCATTGATCAGGTATAGTAGATAACTGGTGATGATGTACATAATGTAGGAGTCCAATGGAATAATATTATGTCAGCTGAGTAAGATATGTACAGTAAGCAAAAAACACTGCCACATACCCTGTCCAGAGTCCAGAGTCCAGAGGACCCTGCCCCAAAACTTGTATGTACTGCCTGTCACAGCCATCACTAGAAACAGATGCATCTGTTATTAGTGGTGGCTGTGACGCAATTCGCGGTGGCTGTGACACAATTTGCGGTGGCTGTGACACTACTCTAGGGATTAGGGTTCAGGTTATGGTTTACCAAGGATAGCACACCATTGGAAAGCATTTTTCAAGGAGATTTCAATGGTAGTGATCCTACAGCTGTGCTACCAAGGATAGCACACCATCAGAAAGCGTTTTTTGAGGAGATTTCAATGGTGGCAATTCTATCTTTCTTTTTCTTCACAAATTAACTTTATAACTAACCAATACTCATGCCAGTACACAACCTTAATCTACCTCAAGATTTTTGCTGTTCAAGTGGCTGAGGCCTGTCACATAATATTATGTAAGCATTTCATTGTTATTTTACATGCATCACTTATATGATTTAGGCCTGATCCATCTACACCTTGCTCTAATCAATGGAATGAAGAGCACATTCGATGTGAACAACAGTTGACATCCCCTACTGAATGCCATTGTTGCATGCCCTATGCCCAGCAACTGCCAATTCCCTAACCTGTTTTTCATCATCTGCCTGTTCAGGTATATCAGTTGCCATCCGCTCAAAAAAGGAGCATCTGTGATGCAAACCTTGATGCTCTTACAGCACATGCTCAAGCAGTCTTAGGCAATAATCCTCCTCAAGCTGTGCCACCTCCCCTACATCAATTGCAATCTACTCAACAATGGATCCTCCATAATGCACAGCTTGATGATCTTGCAGCACGTGCAAGGGCAGTCTTAGGTGATGGTCCCCCTCAAGGTGCACTCACTCATGAAGAGCATCTTGCAAGATGAAGACAATCAAGAAGCACAAATCAACAAATTAATGCTGAACCTGCAGCCTCTATACTTTCAGCAGGCAGCACAAGATGCACTCACAGGACTTGCACAATTACAACTTCAGCATGGTGATATCTTTTACCAAGCCAGACTGGGACACAATTTCCCTGAGGTTGAAGAGAGGGCTAGGGTGGAGGAGCTAGAACAAGAAGCTCAGGAAGCCTTACAAGCAATTCAAGCACCATGCCCCTGGGATCAAAATATGATCCAGCAATATGCTATGAAAGCCCAACAAAACAGCAATAAAGTGATCAACCTGGGTGAAATGACTTATCAATGCTCCACCTGCCATGCTCTACACTTTATCAAAGAATGCCATACAAATTCCTCCATCTGTGAGCCAGTTTTTACCAAGTGCTGTGCTACTAGCCAGATCAAGCTCCCACCCTTCCAAGTGGTTCCTCCTGTGTTGGCCCAATTGGTAAATGGAGGAGACCCAAATGCAAAGCACTTTCAGCAGCATATCCAACAATACAATCATGCACTCTCTTTGGTCTCTTTGGGTGCTAAGAGGGATGAGCACACTGCAAGGGGAGGTGTGTATTCCTATTCAATCCAAGGAGCACTCCACCATTGCTATGGTCCTGCACATCCTGGAGAAGATACACACCCTTCCTATAACCAGCTCTACTTCCTTGATCCAGTGGCAGCTCAGGCTGAGCTTAAGCACCATAATCCAGCACTCAAACCACAGATTCTGTGGGAACTTACCAAAATGCTCAAGGAAACACACTTTTATACCCAGCAATTTATGCACGCATATCAAGTACTGCAGGCACAAGAGCAGCAAATTCAAGAAGCAGGCCAACCCAATGAGGTGGTGGAAGTTCAGCTTCACTTTGATCCCAATACAGACCAGCACCATTACAATCTTCCCACAGTTGAGGAAGTGGCAGTGGTCTGGCCAAACTCACTCACCAATGAGCCAAGGGATATTGTGCTACACAATAGAACAGACAGCTTCCTCACAACAATGAACACTGGCAACCCAGCTTATATGCCACTCCATTATGTCCTGCTCTTTCCACATGCTGAACATGGATGGCACTGGAATATTCCTAAGGTTGGAGAAGCCCCTCCACAGCAACAAGGAGAGGCAGAGGGTGATGATGTTGGAGAGGATGGGGATGAAGCAGCAGTGCACACCTCAGCAAAGACAGTGACTGAGATGGAGTACTATCAATATCGCTTGCATGTCCACTCTCTTCCTTGGGCACAGCATCTCTTCCAATGTGGCCAACTCTTTCAGCAATTTGTGGTTGATGCTTGGGCATCAGTGGAGCAAGATTGCCTATGATGGATTGAGCACAATCAGAAGACTATCCGTGCAGAGCTCTACAATGGCTTGGCAGATGCAGCAGCAAGAGCTGATAATGCAGAGCCAGGGCAACATGATCTTGCTCAGATTGGCACATGTATCATCCTTCCTGCCACCTTTGTATCCAGTGCACAGTACATGTACCAGCTCTATCAAGACTCCATGGCCATTGTGTGCTGGGCAGGACAGCCTGATATCTTCCTCACCTTGACTGCAAACCCCAAGTGGCCTGAGATCATTACCTCACTCCTTCCAGGACAGAAAGCAGAAGATTGACCAGATATTGTTGCATGAGTCTTCAACCTAAAGCAAGATGAAGTTTTACACCTTATTTACAAGGAGGACCTGTTTGGCAAGGCAGTGGCAAGAGTCTACACCATTGAATACCAAAAGTGTGGCTTGCCTCACATGCATCTTCTCATCTTCCTCAATCAAGCCTCCAAGCTACACACTCCACAAGAGGTGGCTCTCCATGTTTCAGCAGAGATCCCCTCACAAGAGGAGGATCCTGATCTCTTCAACTTGGTGATCTCTCATTTGATGCATGGGCCATGTGGGGCTGCCTTCAAGGATGCAAAATGCATGGTAGAGGGCAAGTGCAGCAAGGGCTTTCCCAAGAATTTCTGTTCTGAGACAGTAATGGATGGTGACTCTTATGTGTGACTTTGCTGTCATGATAATGGCTGCTATATTGAGAAGAATGGGGTTCCTCTGGATAATCGATGGGTGGTCCCATATCCAAAGTGTGTAATAGCTCATTGAGTGTGGCCTAATAGCTGACCCAGAGTAAAAACCTGCTAAAGCAGATCAGAGCACATTGCAATACTGAATTCTGCTTTAATGTGGGTGCAGTCAAATATATTCATAAGTATATCTACAAGGGTCAAGATCACATTACCTTGGAGGTTGGCAATGAGGTGAAAAGCTATCTTGATGCTTGCTATATTGGACCTGTGGAAGCAGTTTGGCACCTCTTTTGCTTTTGAATGCACAAAGAAAAGCCATCCATCTATTGGCTTCCTGTGCATTGCCCTGGAGAACATACAGTCTTCTTCAATGAGAATGATGAGATGCAACAAGTGCTTGAAAGTGGTGCAGCAGCCAAGACAAAGCTCACAGAGTTCTTCACAATGAATGCATCTCTACCAGAAGCACAGTGCACACTCACCTATCAAGAGTTCCCAACCCACTTTGTGTGGAAAGGAACAAGCAAGCACTGGGATGTGCATAAGGCTCAGTATGCCATTGGATGGATGTACTTTGTGCACCCAACTGCAGGGGAGTGATTCTATCTGCACACCCTCCTAGCACATATGCCTGGGCCTACAAGCTTTGAAAATCTTTGAACCATAGATGGTATTCTCCATCCTACCTTCAAGGCTGCATGTAGGGCACTGGGTCTCCTTCAAGATGACCAAGAATGGATCGATTGCCTTGAAGAGGCCTCCAACATGCAGACTGGTGATCCAACCCAAGAGGTGTCCAAAATATTGGTCCAATGGGTGGTGTGCCAGAACTCACTGGGGAAAGAGGGGAGAGATGGGGGAAAGTCAGTAGAAAATGTGGGAGTCAGCCTGTAGCTGAGCTATCAATAGTCAGCATGCAATAATTGGAGCTCAGTGTCTCTCCAGTCAAGTCAAATCTGCTAAGTCAAGTCAAATCTGCCAGTATACAAATAATCAGATCTGTATAAGTCTATCAGAAGAGGGGCAGAATAAGCTAGATACAGGAGTTTCTGGAAACTACTTATATTAGCTACTGAAAACTGCACTCTATACTAATCTGGTCTCTGGATCCCTCTCCTAGGCAGGCATTGGCATGCTGAATATCTGTGTGAGTTGATCCCGTTGCAGGGGAAACCTGCAGTTGTCATGCCAAATATCCAAGTGGTCCCATTGCTTGGGAAATCATAGTAGTCACCATGCCGAATATCCGGGGGAGTTGAGACTTGTTGCTGGGTTGCATTGTCTGCATAGTGAGGGCCCATAGTGCTTTGCAACAATCTCTAAGGCCCAAAAATAGCTGTGGGAATATCAGCCTGACACACCCTACCGGAGGTGGGGTTATTCACTGGCAAACAGCTTCAACTTCTTTTTGTCACAATGTTACAGCACTGTCACCCTGCTGCCCCTGGTGAACTCTGGATGCACTTCAAGGAACACCTCTGTGATGCCCTCCTTCGCCAACTCCATTGCTCTCACCCAGAGATGACACAGGAGGATGCATTGGACTATGGCCTCTATCTAATTGATAAGCTCCTCTGCACACAAGGCTCCAGCTTGGAGGATCCCAAGTTCCATGGTGAATTTCCAGCCTTTTGCACAGATTGGGAGAGGGTGCTAGCCCTTGATGATAACCATCTGATTGCTGAACAGCTGGACTATGATCGAGTCCAACTGGCAGAAGATGCAGAAGAGATGACCAGCAAGATGAATGAAGAGCAACAACATGCCTTTGATACCATCATCACACATGCAGAAACTGGATCTCTTTTCTGGCTCCAGGGCCCAGGGGGGGCTGGAAAGACCTTTGGCAGTCTGTGCAAGGCTCCATTCAGCTGGCAAGATTGTGCTATGTGTGGCTTCTTCTGGAATTGCAGCACTGCTTTTTCCAGGGGATCACACAGCACACTCCATGTTCAAGATCCCCATTGCTTGCCTTGACACATCCTCCTGCAACATACACAAGAATAGCTGGCTAGCAGCTATGCTGCGAAGAGCCTCCATCACTATCTGGGATGAAGCAACAGCACAGCATTGCTATTGTGTTGAAGCAGTAGATCACACTCTCTGTGATATCAGAGATCAGCCTGATCTTCCCTTTGGTGGAATGACAATGGTCTTTGGGGGTGACTGGCAGCAAACATTACCTATGGTTCCACATGGAGAAAGGGTGGACTTCATCAATGCCTGCTTGCAGTGCTCACCTCTCTGGCCTCATAATGAAATCTTGCATCTCACTCACAATATGCAGCTGGATGCTAACAACCCTGAGAGTGCAGCTTTTGCAAGTTGGCTATTGGAGGTGGGAAGTGGCAAGGCAACACATGGTGATGGGACTATCCAGCTTCATCCAGGCATGCCTTGCGGTGAGAAGCCAGAAGACCTGCTCTCAGTGATCTACTGAGATATCAAGAATCCACAAATCGCAGGCCCTGCTGGAGACAACTATTTCTTGGAACAAACCATTCTGGCTGCATGAAATACAGATGTGGATGGAATGAATACACAGGTGCTCACACAGCAACCAGGTGAAAAAAACTGTGTTTTGCTCAGCTGACTCACTGGAGGAAGAACCTGGGGTCAAAGGTAGCCTTGAGCTGCCTGTGGAATACCTCAACTCACTCAAACTACCTGGACTCCCTCTGAGCAAGCTGCACATTAAGCTGGGATGCCCCCTTATGCTTATGTGTAATCTGGCTCCAGCACAAGGTCTCTGCAATGGAACCCACATGCAGGTTATCTGTGCTTCACACTGAGTCCTTGAAGTTTGCTTGCTTGGAGGTGAACACCATGGAGAGATAGCACTTATCCCCTGTGTAACTCTCACTGCATCTGAGGAAGCAGCACTCCCCTTCATCTTCAAGAGATGACAATTCCCAGTGTGACTGGCCTTTGCAATGACAATTAATAAGTCACAAGGCCAGTCTGTCAAACATGTTGGGCTGGATCTTTGCATGCCTGCTTCTGCACATGATCAATTATATGTTGCACTTTCACGTTCTACAACTGCAGGTGCAGGTTCTTTTACCCCCACAGTCAGCAAATAGACCAAGGAGGAATGTAACTCCAAATGTTGTATACCCTGAAGTTCTTGGAATACTTGATGTACATAGAAATTAATTGAATTACAACATAAAACAGTGAATGAAGTGAGACAGGCTCCCCTATAGAAATTAATTGAATTACAACATAAAATGGTGAGCAAAGTGAGACAGGCTCCCCTAGTTTATGTGATATATTTGTGTTGGCGTGTGCCAACTCCGGTTGCTGGGTACACTGCCACTGATATCAATGCTGGTGTGATCCGGGGATGCCGTGTCGCTAGAAGAAAAGAGGGCGTCCAGCACAACTACTGAATAGCCAGCATGGATGCCGAGTGGAAGTCTTTTAAAACAACTCATAACTTGCCAGCATGCAAATACCAAGCGCGAGAAGGGATGAAGAATTCGAGTGTCGTCAGATGAGAAATGGAACGGCAGAACCTCTGTAGCTGCTCACGTGCCATTTTTTGAGGGATATAGAAAGGGTTTGACAGGGTCTGCGCTTCATGCTGACTGCCCCGCCAAGTGTGTGTTCCACTCCTTTTTTTACTCTCGCTCTTTGCTGGTCTCTTTCCACTTCACTGGCAGCATAACTCTACTCTTCATTATCTGGGAAATTACCATCAGTCTAGTGAAGGATATATCCACTTTCAATCAGCAACCATTGGCAGCGAATTCACCGACCGCTCTCCAAGGGGACGTTAATGTCCCTCACCAAAAAGCGCGGCAGGGGGCAGGCAATTCAACTACAACGCGTATCCCTCCGCCCTGTTCACCCTTCATCCTCATCGTCGCCTTCCCACACTTCCCCATCATCCTATCACCCGCACATGTCCTCCCAGCTCCCCTCTTCTGGATCCTCGCCTTCTCCAGCACTGCGATTTCTCAGGAAACGAAGCCCCATGAGGTGTGTCCTCCTCCTGGTACTTTTCGCCGCGACGTTCGCTGCTCTTTGGCTCCTCATGCAGCCGAAAGACGTCGACCTAGAAAGATATGCACAAGATTCGAGCAGATCGAACGCAGGGGGGAGAGAATACACGCCTCAGCGGCCTGGACCTCCAGATCGTTCTTCACCTCGTCCAATAGAGCAAGAACAAGAATCCGCACGCTCTCAATCTCCCCAACCCCCACCACGTATCCCTCCTGCACCAGACGCCCCCCTCCCTCCTCCACTCGTCGATACCCTCCCTCCCCCTCCGACCGACGTAGTTGCAGAACCGAACCCGAATGACCCGAAGCTGCACAAGTTTCCTCCAATCGAGAAAGAGGGTCCGAGGGAGATCGACCTCCGTTGGTGGCTCGACCATGGAGCTACGTGGTTCCTCGAGCCTATTCCTGCCCTGGTAGATGCACCCCCTCCCTCGACGTTCAAGTGCGAGAACACTCCTGATTTCGGACCGCTCCTTCTGATTGCAGTGTTCTCCACTGCCAAAGGTTGGGAGAAGCGCGACCTCATCCGCGTGCTCGGTAGACAAGGATTGGGTCCCGCAATCGCATCCCAAGTTCTATTCCGTTTTGTCGTAGGCCGAACGAATGACAAGGAGTCCGAAGATCGATTGCAGCTCGAGATTCAGCGATATGGGGATATACTGCAACTCGAATTTCCGGAGAATATGGATGAGGGAAAGACGTACCAGTTCTTGCGCTGGGTGGGGGAAAGGCCAGAGAGCGAAAGACCGAGATTTGCCATGAAGACGGACGATGATGTGCGTCTCTTCTTCCTTGGTATATATCACGTGATTCTGATTTTCTACGCAGACATTCCTTGTGCTCCCCAATCTGCTCAGCGTTATCTCCTCCCTCGACTGCTCGCAGAACATATATTTTGGGACTTCGTGGGGAGCGTGTATTACCGACTGTTATCCGTTCTATATGCGCGGGATGGCATATGGGCTCAGTTGGCCTCTGGTGCGTTCACGCTTCGTTTCCGTAACGCGTCCCACGCGTGTAAGCTCGGTTGACCAACTGTCGAACAGATCCGCTGGCTGACAACAGCCAGTCTCTCGTTCGACGACTATCGCTCAACAGAAGACGCGCGTACGGGCTCTTGGTTCCTCTCCCTCCCAGCGACCGAGAAGATGTATGTCGTAGACTTGGAGCGGAGACTGGGCGATTGGGATGGGATCAGCATACCCGTCAATTCGGGCACGGTCGCACTGCATGCGATGAAAAGTAATTGGGTGAGTGTTTCTATACCTTTTTCGAGCTATTTTATGCGCATATATGCCGTTCGTTGAACCGGACTGACGAAAACCAGTTATGGGCCAAGGTCGGGCTACAACTGATGGACACCTGGGAGAAGGAGGAAAAAGAGTACATGTACAATGGTGAGCGAAGCAGAAAGGGGAGGGAGTTGCCTGAGGGTGAGGAAGGGGGGGAGGAAGAGCAAGACCCGGAGCCATAGCACCTTCGGTTCATGGACTCGTTCGCTTCGCAAGCCTCCTTCGGAGAGTCGCTCCTTGCGCGTGGAGATTCTCCTCACGCGTGTGGTATGAGTGGGCAAACGAGAGCATGCACTCTTCGGACATGGGAGGGAATAATGCTGGACAACGGACTTGGAGACTGTATCGACTATGTATACACGTACGGCTGTAGCTCTGCCTTTCTACAGTGACGCGCACGATGCTGATGCTGGGGCTAAGGCTTGTGATACCCATCTTGTTTGCTCAAGGATTTTTTCGTTCTCTAATACTAGGGATTATGACACTCGGATTCGAGTCATTCATTACCAGCGGAGTATCGTTTTCGAAAGATCCACAGGCGCTGCACTACGTCCAGACGGCCTACAACCTGACGAACCATTATCTTCGAATCGATGCTTATTTCCTCTGTGATAACATGTTTTGTAAGGCTCTCAGTCTAGGTCCTTTCGATAGTTCTTTGAGGATGGAGTACATATACACTGATGTGACCACAGAGTCAATGTCACAAGCTAAATACATGGCTTCTAGTGCTCTGAATCACGCTTCTAGGGAACCGTATTATTTTCTCAACGAACCTCTAGCTCCAACTGCTTCATGTGCTCGAATCACGTCGTCCGCCTCTTTCCACGTCACGGTATTCTGCACCACTGACCAGGTCCCGTCCAGTCCCACTTAAACTGTCCACACTCGAGCACTGGGACCTCTTTAGCAAGGGCTCTCTCTAATGCATCCTGCTCTGATGGGGTAGCCGGCATCCCCACCATATGATTCTCCATGTACGGATTAACTGTAGGCCATTCTTCCATCCGTATCCGAGTAAGGGGTGTTCGAGCTGATCGATGGAGTGCTGCGAAAGTCGTGAGGAATCTGATGTGATTCGATGTCGCCCACATCAGAGATTCCAGTACTTTCAACTTCGGCCAAAGCGGTAAGTGTGGCGCATCGTTCTCAGATTCGCTCGCCGGACGTTCAGTTGACATCAACTTGCTAGCGCACATCATAGCAATGTAGTATTCAACTTTTGAGATGGAGTACGGGTGAGAAGCACACGTGCCGCGAAAAACCTCTACGTCGGGTAGAACAAAGAGTATTCTGTCCAGAATACCCAGTACTGCACCACCAAGTGTGAGTTTCTTCACCGAAGGAGGCGTGCCCTGCGGGATGGAGGAAGCAGAGAGAAATTCGATGAGAGCGGCAACGCATGCGTTGCATTCGTCCTGACGTAGCTGGTACTCAACGATGAAGGGGTGATTCATCGAGAGACTTTCGAGCTTGGTGCGACAATCAGTTGGAACATGATACGACCGATGCGTGTTGACATGCATATAAGACTGTGCAGTTCTGGCAGGACCAAGCGAGGCAGGTGAGCTGCAGGCTCCGTGACGTCCGGGTATTGTTCTGCGTAGTCCATAATGAGACCGAGTTCTTGGAGCTGGGCAGCACACATTAGCAGTGCGAGCAAGCGTGAGGGTACAAACTGGCTCTCCCGGTCGAGTTTCAGATGAAGCCGGCGACAGCGGCGGAAAGCGATATGCTCCGGGCGTTGGGTCAACGGGAGAGAAAAGGAGTGCAGCTCGACATCTACGAGATGTGGAAGGTTACAGGAAAGTAATCCCTCAATCACACGCTCTTCATCGATTGCCTCCTCCAACGGTCGGAGGAGGCGGATCTCAAGACGGCGCAATGTCTTGCCGCTTTGAGTGACGCAGCGTGTAATCGATTCGAGTTCTTTCCCGAACGGGCCTGGCACACAGAGAGAGAGCTCCCCGACACGGTGCCCACAAACATGGATGTACTCGTTAACCATCGCCCGTGTTTCGATGAATGGCAGGTGCAAATCCACGCGGAGGAGCGACTGCTTGGATCGCTCGAGGGAGGTTGCATGCAGACATTCGGCTGATTGCGTTTGCGCTTCCGTACCAGGGATGGTTCGGCTTAAAGTCCTCGTTCGCTACGTATTTGAGCTTTGAAAATCGCACGCTCGTCCACACGCTCGACATGTCTAGTACAATGTCCCGCCAACGGCGGGAGACGTGGGAGACTAGTAGTGCAAATCTTGGCTCGCGGGGAGCAAAGGTAAAGTAGCCGGGGGGATAGACCGATCGATCATCACGGTCGTCGCCATACTGAATGATGAGTAGTAGGAATCGTCTGGCAACCGGGATACGGGTGCGAGGGCATCGTTCCTTTTCTCGTCGATCTGCCGAAGCTTATCATGCAGCGTTGTTTCAAGCTCGTGAACCTCAGACACCGCAGGATGGTCGGATTGAGTGAATCGAGAAGGTCCGATGCGTTCCAGGACATCACAGAGGCTTATACAAAGGTCAATAGCCTGAGATAGCAAAGCAGATCGTTCTTCGGGTTGCTGGAGTCCAAGCATGACGGGTAGCTGCTGAGCTCCGTTAATGTTCAAGGCAACACAAAGGAAACCAAGTGGTCGTTACAGTAAACGTTAGACTTGATCCATGCTTTCGGAGGCAATGTTCAAATTCCGCTCCGGGGCCATTTTTCTTATTCGCCTCATGGGCTTGGGCTGACTGTGTAGTTCGTTCAACAGGTGCATGCAGCGTAGCAGGTCCGGCTCATCTAAATGAAGGTTCAAGTTGAAACTAGGTGACTTGAGAGCCGCGAAGTATGTATTGGTATGTACGCGACTGCCGCTTTACGTTTTATCCTCTAGACCTGTCTTGTTGATTGTGCCTTATATATATACACGCTCGATTTCACGTAGCATGGCCGTTGCCAGCTGCAGGACGACGAGCTCGCCGAGAGTAGCAGATTGAAAATCTTGTCTGACAGACCTCGATGCATCAGAACACTTCTCACCGTCTTATTTCATACTGAGTGCCTTCGGATCGACAGAGCCCACATCATGCAAAATGCTTCAAGAAGGGAAGATCGGAATACTACGCTGAGACATAGTCTATGTCCCGTTTACAGCACTGGCCGGCCGACTCCATATTTTTGCCTAAACCCTGCACCACTCCGTCGATCGGTAGCTCGAACAGCCCAAGGTGATGCTCCCCTTGACAACATTACCATAATAAAAACCACCCTGGATCTTTTCCCCAGGCCTTCTGTTTGACTCTTGGTTCCCTACGCCATCGACCGCCCTCATTCCATTCCCACCTGAACTCTCCACATTCAAGCACTTCGACCTCCTTCGCTAGCTCTTTCTCAAGTCTGTATTGCTCTGATGGTATAGCTGGCATCCCCAATGTAGGGTTTGGGACGGGAGGCCAGCCGTGTATGCGTATTCGAGTGAGAGGATTCCCCCAGGAACAACGGCGTGCTGCGAGGGTTGTCAGCCATTGGATGTGGCGAGGTGTCGCCAATGACAGGGACTCGAGCACTTTCAACTTTGGGCAAAGAGGTGGGCGTGGGGGAACGTCTTCAGATTCGCTCGCCGAATATTCGGTTGGTACCAACTTGTTCAACACACGAGCGTATTCAAGTTTCTGCTCCTCGCCAATGATCCAGTCGTAATTGAACGTGGATCGGAAAACTTCTATTCTGGAGAGAACAAGGAGTATTCTTTCGAGACCGTTGAGTATTGCACCTTGTATTGTGAGTTGCTTCACCGGCGGAGAGTCACCATAAGAGCCGGACGAGCTGGCAAGGAACTCTAGCAGTTCGGTGATGTAGGCTTCTTGCCACTCATAAGAGTCAATACCAGCGCGGACATCCAGTGAAAGACTTTCGAGCTTTGGCGCGACAAGACGTCCGAACGTGTCACGAGCGCGACGTGTTGAAGTGCAACTGATAATGCGGAGTTCTGCTAGCAGAACGTGTGGCAATTGTACTTCAGCGTCGGCAACGTCGAGGCTGGGCGAAGAGAACAGGGTCAAATGCAGTTCTTCGAGCTATGGAGCACAACTGAGGAGTGCAAGCAGACCTGCAGGCCTGTACTGAGTCTCTGAGTTCATCTCTAGCAGAAGACTGCGACATCGGAGGAAGGCGATGTACTCGGGACAGTGGACCATTGGGAGGGGAAAGGAGTGTAATTCAACCTCTACCAGCCGAGGAAGATCGCACGCAAGGAGCGCTCCAATCGTGTCGGGTATGCCCGTGTCCCTGTGCGAGAGGGGGTCATGAAGACGAAGCCGGACGCAACGCAAGGTTTTTCTGGTGTGAGTGATGCACGGAATGACCGCGTTCAGGCCTTCTGGGCTTGAAGTATGCACAGAGAGATTGAGCACCGCGACGCGGATTAGGCAGATTTGCAAGTATTCTTTCATAATCGTCGACAATAGGTAATACGGTGAAAGCAATAGCTCCACTTTGAGCAACGATTCTTTGGAGCGCTCGAGGTTGCAGGTATATGTGTCATTCAGTGCCCTCGGTCTTCGGTAGCAAGGATGGATCGGCTTGAAGTCCTCGTCTGCTGAGTGTGTCGGGTTCGAAAACCGAACGTACGTCCATACGCTGGCCATATCGAGCACGATCGCGCGCCAGCGACGGGACATGTGGGAAACACGTCGTACGAGACTGGTCCCGATAGGATAGACCTCCAGTGGCTCGTCATCGTGCCCGTGCTGAATGATGAGTCGTAGAATATCATCTGGCAACCGCGATACGGGCGCGAGAGCTTCGTTCCTTTTCTCATCGACCTGCCGGAGTTGATCATGTAGCATTGATTCAAGCTCGTATACCTTCGATACCGCAGGTCGATGGTCAGATTGAGTGAAGCGCGAAGGTCCGAGACATTCCAGAACATCGTAGAGGCGCGTACATAGGTCAATAGCTTGAGAAAGTAGAACAGATCGTTCTTCGGGTTTCTGAAATCCAATCATACCTGCATCTGCTATATTCCGTTGAGGTTCAAGGCAAAACAAAGGAAACGAAGTGGTCGTCAGACGTTGGAGGTGTTCCGTGTTTTCGGAGGCAGAGTTCGTTCGAATCCTCCGCCGCCATTTTGCCGCGGCGACGTGGCAGCAAAACCGGTAGGGTGAACCTTGTTCAGGAGCTGCAGGTTCTCCCCTGACCTCTCATCAGAGCAGTGTCGAGATTGAAACTAGGACGCTCATGAGGCGCAAAGTGCTTCCCAGCTGGGTTGGCGCGCTACATGATGTCTAGTTGTATCTCATGCTTTCCGACAGCCCCGTAAATTTGCGCGCGCGACATTTCGACTTTACGCGCCTGCAGTTGGCTTCAGAAGCTAAGAAGGGAACAATAAGGTGGTGCCTGGTCGGTGTCCCATTTGTAGCATTGATCCCCCGACCCCATGTCTGTATTTAGGCCCTGCGCCAATCCAAGTCCGTGCATTGGTAGCCCGAACAATGCATTTTGATACTCCCTTGACAATATTATTGTATATGCCAGCCCTCAGCGTCCATTGCTCGTAGTCCCCAATCGCCCTCTCCGACCTTTTGGTTCTTGCGCCACCGACCCTCCTCCTTCCATTCCCACCTGAACTTTCCACACTCCAGCACTTCGACCTCCTTTGCTAGTACTCTCTCGAGTGTGTATTGCTCCAAAGGTGTGGCCGGCATCCCTGTCATGCCGGCTGACACGTGGGGCATCCACTGTGCAGGCCAATCGGCCATGCGTATTTGAGTGAGTGGCGTCCCACATGACCGACGATGAGCTGCAAGGCTCGTCAGCGATTGGATATGGTTCGGTGTCGCCCATGCGAGACTCTCCAATATTTGCAAGTTTGGGCAGAGGGGTGGGTGGGTAACATCCTCCACAGATGTTATCTCAGCGTGTCCCGTTGCCAGAAGAGATTGCGCTCCTAATTTGTTCAGAAACCCAACGTACTCCTCCTCTTCGACGACGCTCCATTGGCGATCAAAGATAGTCTGAAGGACCTCCAGACTGGGGGTATGCAAGAGTATTCGTTCGAGACTGCTCAATATTCCACCTTTGATCGTGAGTGTCTTCACCGGCGGAGGTGTGCCGTCTAAGCCGGATGAGGCTGAGAGGAACTCCAAGAGGTCGGCGACATAGGCCTCTTGTTGCTCTGGGATATGAAAGCGAGAGAGAACATCTATTGAAAGCTTTTCCAGCTTTGGAGCCACAAGTCGTCCGAATGTTTTACGAGAGGTGGATATTGAGATGTATTTGATGCTGCGCAGTTCTGGCAACAGCACGCGCGGTAGAGGAGCTTCAGAATCCGGGGCGTCCAAGACCGGCAGGGGATATAGCATGAGGTGAAGATATTGGAGCTTGGGCGTACACTGGAGCAGTGCGAGCAGGTGTGCCGGCGTATACTGGCTTCCTCGATTGAGCGTCAAATGAATACGGCGACAGCGGAGAAGGGCGAGATACTCGGGGCAGTGGGCTAGTGGAAGGGGAACGGAGTGGAGTTCAACGTCTATAAGACGCGGAAGGTCGCAGCGAAGTAATGCTTCCATCGTCTCGCGTCCACCCATGTCTGTCATTGATTGAACCAAGCAAAGACGGAGACGACGGAGTGTGTTCCTGGTTTCAGTGACGCACGAGACAACGGCTTGAAGCCCTTCCATACTTGAGGTGTTGGCGGAGAGAAAGAGCTCTGCGACGCGGTTCGAGCACACATGCAGGTACTCTTTAACCATTGTACGGGCCCCGTCAAGTGGCGGAATGCTCATATCCACATTGAGGAGCGAGTACTTGGATCGTTCGAGGTTGGATGCGTATATTGGGCTGAGGGCTTTTGCGCTTCCATACCATGGATGGAACGGTTTGAAGTCTTCGTCTGCTAGATATTTGGGATTGGAGAACCGCACGTAAGTCCAAACATTCGCCATGTCGAGCGTGATAGCACGCCAGCGACGAGAGATACCAGAGACAAGCCTGGCAAAACCAGTCCCAAGAACGAATAGGCGGTGCTCGAGTAATTGGTCGTCGTGTCCGTGCTGAATGATGAATCGCAAAATATCGTCTGGTAAGCGCGATACGGGCGCGAGAGCATCGTTCCTCTTCTCATCGACTTGCCGAAGTCGATCATGTAGCGTTGACTCAAGCTCGTGAACCTTCGATACCTCAGGATAGTCAGATTGAGTGAAGCGAGAAGGACCGAGACGTTCCAGTACATCGCGGAGGCGTGTGCAAAGGTCAATAGCTTGAGAAAGCAAAGCAGATCTTTCCTCGGGTTGTTGGATCCCTCGCATTACTGCACCCGCCTTGTTCCGTTGCTCTCCAATGGGAGACAAAGAAAGCGGCAGGCTGAGTTCGGAAGAAGACATGCAGCACGGAGCTTGAAAAAACACCGGAGGCATGCTGACCAATCAGAGAACGCGATTTTGCTGGCCAAATGACAACAGCCGGCCCTTCTGACAAGTAAGTTACCCCTCGCTTTTCTTTGACAATCTATTCGTGTCTTCTTACTATGAATACAGACACATCCTGGGTTCTTGAGAGTGAAGCGCAGAAGCGCAGCAATCTGGTCGACGCATGGTCACCTGTCAAGCCAACCAGTAAATGAGTTGTGGAGCGCGAGTCGTCACTATCAGGTACGCTCCATCCTCGAAGGATGTTTGTACCCAGCTTACCCTTTCCAAGATCTCCTGTTACATACGTGGACCGTTCTGCCGAGACACCCTGATTAGGGGTATGGCGCCGACAACCGTGACTCCGATACCTACGTAATTGATCTTGAAACTCTGTTGCCGGCAACGCCTAGAAGCGAAGAAGACCATGGAATTCTGGTGCAAGATCCCCGCTTGTATCAGACAGAACGAGCATATCTGTCAAGAGGATCCACAACAGACGGCCTGAGGCAACCCATGAGCAACCCACGTCAGACCTATTGCTCCACCGCCGTTGTGGACATCTCAACAGTTCGTCCTTATTATCCGGGTTTGCCACTGACGCATGCACCAGTTGACTCGTTAGGGTTGGCATTGTCAAGTTCAACAACAGTCCACAGATCCTTGTAATCTCACACGTGTTTGAGTATCTCTTCCCTCAGCGCACTCCAGCACCAACAAGAGCATGACGAAACCCTTTCGCATATGTAAGAACCTGACGAAAGAAATAGGGGATTCAGCAAACTGCGCGATGATATCGCTCCATTTTCAGTTGACGCCCGTGTTGTCCAAAAATAACACAAACGTGTGCGCCTCCGGACTCGCCTGGACACGCCATGCAGAGTCGTCCCTTTCATGGAGTTCATTATCAGGCGTAAGACGTGGATCGACTCTGAAAAACTGTTAATCCCCGTCAAAGCCCTTGTCTCAAGAGGAAACCTGTCGAGATTCGAGATTCGGCCAGATCGCATCCCAACCTCCACGCGCAGCGTTATCGTGCTGCCTCAGGACGCTCTCGCCGAACTCGACTACGAAAAGGAGGGTGCTCAAGATCCATGCACCCTTTGGACGGGCGTGGGCCGGGAGTGCGAACCTCATGTCCAGCAAGCTTTATGACATTCCCTGACCATACTACTCTCCTGAAACACGATTCGTACTCCCTCATGGGGCCGACAGTCTGCGATCTTCGGCCGCTCGACCAGTCCGGCCCACATCCGTCGGCCGTTCCTGAGGCTCAAGACATCCCGGTCGCATGGTCCCACCCCATCCCCCGGTGGGCCATTCGGTTCCAGCCGTGTGGTACTAGTCCGGCCATGCCCAGCAAGTGTCTTGTTCTAGCCTAGTACTGAGGAACTTACAATTTTACGTGTTCAAGTGTTGCGAGTGGCTAGACCCTCAGCTGCTCGCCACACGGTGCTCGCTCCTGTGCCGATCTGCCGGTATGATGCGAGACAGTCAGACTTTCTAAATCCAACCAAAGTGTCTGACAATGACGTGCTCAGGGTTGGGCGAGATATCCTGGGCGCTAGAAGAGAGCCATAAACGTAAACACAAGAGGTGGTTGATAGCCTCCGCCCGCCCTAGAGATCTATTTTTACGCTCTTCTTGGCAGGTAGGGCACACGTGCAGCCGAGAGCGAACGCTGTGGGCCCGGGAGGGCTCGTGTACTTTTCCCGACGGATGGGCTCGGTCGGGTTTACTCACTACTTACTGTACGTGTCGCACTGCGAGGAGACAGAGCAGGCGCTCAATCCCGGCACATGTGGACAAAAATGGGATCATACGGCTGCAGATGCAGGCGGGATTTGCCCAGAAGTCGTCCATGCGTGCGCAGATCGAGCCACGCCGGGGGCGGCACGCGCTACCGTGGCGAAATGAAGCGAGCACGCGCTGGTCGGTGGGCAGCGTGCATCGGGATTGGCGAGTTTATCCGGGTCGAACGACCTAGTATTGAGAGGGGAGGAAAGTAGGCGCAGCTGGGTGGTGGCTCGGATACCCCTGAGCATATGGGGCGTTTTGGGCCGTCGGGTGGACGGAGCGGGCGAGACTGGGATCCTGTGCGCCTTGTGGGGATTGTGAGCATGAGGTGCTTCAAGGGGTGTAGGGGGGTTAATGGACGTCGTGAGCTGCAGCGCTTTGCCTTTTCATTGTAGATCGGGAATGTGCAGGGAGGGGGGAATGGATAGCGGTTGGAATGGACGATGTGCTCCCTCCCCCGATCTGACGTGTGTTTCGGGGAACGCGTGTCGGGACCGAGGAGGGCGTAAGGAGGTTGATTTAGTCCTTTGGTGGCGTTGCTGTGAGTGTGTGGACGATGTTGGGAAGCTTACGATCCTCGTTCGGAGAGACTGAATTGGGGAGGGTGATGTTGAGCGGCGGTGCGCGGTTCGGGTTCGTATGAATGTTCACAGCATGCGGAGATGTTGATTCGGTTGGTTGGCGAGTTCGGCTTCCGGGCATAAGGGTTTGGAAGGGGTAAGAGAGCGCTGGTTTGGGAACGACGATGGGAGAAGAGCGGGGAATTGCCAAGGATTATTCGAGCGTTTTGATTGTTGGGCAACAGCATGCAGGGCAACAAGAATAGCAGCACTCGACACGTCGCATCAGGTGGAGAAGGAACAGGGATCAACGGCACTGTCAGAGAAGGGTATCGGTGCGCCGCCACAGCCAGAAAATTGATAATGAAAGGATGAGACCATTGACATCGGAGGTCGGCAGATAGGGCGGGTCGCACGTTCGTCCGTTCCCTCCGCTCCGTGTCGGTCAATAGGAGGTTAAGGTCACTAGTTTCGTATTTGTATGCCTATGGCTTGTAAGGGAGAACAGTATGAGAGTCATGGATGGCAAACTATGTTGTGGCGGTGGTGCTTGGATGAAGGGGGAAAACGGGAGCTTTGTGTTCGGTTCAGGGTCTGGGGGATGAGGTTAGCCACATGGGGGAGATCGTCAACTGGACCACTTGGCGTGCATATGGATTAATTTGTGAATCGTGAGGATATAGTATAGTGTTATAATTGCAGATTATGGATGGTAGTATGCTTGGCAGGAGAGCACACATTACCGATATTGGAGACAGCATGGGTAGTGGGTGTTGCATGTGGAAATGTTGTAAGGGAGAGAGCGGTGTATGAAAAGCGGGATCAAAAGAAGGAGGTTGCGCACGTTCGTTGAAATAAGTGTTGTGAATGGATGACAAGGGTGTTGAAGGGGTATGAAGCGTGTGGTGTTCCTCGTGCAACAGTGCTCAGTCGCGTGTCGAGTGATGTGGTCCCGCCTTCTACCCTTTCCGGCCCCTTACCACATTGTCACTATTTTCATCACCTTCTCACTACTCGCATCATTCACCGCTCCTCTCTCTCACTCCGAATATAAAGGCACCTCGAATGCTCACCTTTCTCTCTCTCATCACCACATTCCCTTCTTCGCTCCTCTCCTCCACAGAGAGTACTGCGACTTCCCCACCTAATCAAACATAAACTAGTACAACACTAGTCACACGACACAGCACTCCAACGCACTCCGACCCACTCCAAACAATGTCCGTCTACGAAAAGCGTGAGCAGCACGCACGCCCCAACCACGGCGACGTCCGCGGCGGTCTCGAAGACTTTGAGCGCGATGACCCAAGCAAGCCCCCCTTCATCCTCAACTGGACAGAGGTAAAGATCCTCGGCATCGCAGGTGTCGGCTTCTTCCTCGATGGTGAGCGTCTAATACCATCATACATGCGCATATAGCTCACAAACCACAGCCTATGATCTCTTCATCATCAACCAGGTCACCTCCATGCTCCAATGGCGGTTCTATGGAGGCAAGTCACTCCCATCGACGCTCTCCGGTCTCGTCAAGGCTGCCGCCAACATCGGTTCCGTCATCGGTCAGGTCTCCTTCGGTCTCATGGGCGACTACTTCGGCCGCAAGGCAGTCTACGGCAAGGAGCTCATCATCATCATCGTTGCCACCATATTCTGTATCTCGGCTCCTTCCTCAGTAGGTGGTGACGGTGTCCTCATCTGGCTCACTGTCTGGCGTATCGTCCTCGGTGTCGGTGTAGGTGCCGACTACCCCATGTCCGCCTCTGTCACCGGTGACCGCGCCATCCTCCGCAAGCGTGGTGTCATGCTCTGCTACATCTTTGCCAACCAGGGCTGGGGCTCCTTCATCGGCTCCATCGTCACCATGATCGTCCTTGCATGCTACAAGGGTGTTCTCGATAATGACAACCCGGCTAACTGGACCAAGACTGACGGCATCTGGCGTATCATTGTCGGCCTTGCCCTCATCCCGGCTTTCGGCACGCTCTACCAGCGCCTCACCCTCCCCGAGTCCGTCCGCTACAACCGCGCCGTCGCTGGTGAGGCTCCCCCTGTCGATGCCTCCATGAAGTACGCCGATGTCGAGAACGGCAGCGCCAACAGTGGCCCCGGGTTCAAACAGACCTACGATGCTGAGGGCAACCCAGTCCCCCGCCCCAACCCTGATGTCGTTGCCACCGAGGAGCTCGATCCCTCTGTCCTCCCCAAGGAAGTCATCGTCGCTGCTCAGCGCCAGCATTGGAAGGAGTTCCGCGCCTACTTCGGCCAATGGCGTCACTTCAAGATCCTCATCGGCACTACCTGCTGTTGGTTCCTCCTCGATATCGCGTTCTACGGTATCAACCTCAACACCAACATCATCCTCACTGCCATGGGTCTTGGTGGTTCTACGGGTACTGCCTGGAACCGTCTGTTCCAGGTCGCCACCGGTAACCTGATCGTCACCGCTCTCGGCTTCGTGCCCGGCTACTACGTCTCCGTCCTGACTATCGAGTACATCGGCCGCAAGCCTATCCAGCTGATGGGCTTCGGCATGACCGCGCTCATGCTCGCTCTCCTCGCCGGCCTCTTCCCCCGCCTCGACCATGGTGGGTTCATCGCTCTTTTCACCTTCCTCCAGTTCTTCTTCAACTTCGGCGCTAACACGACCACCTTCCTGTATCCCGTCGAAGTCTTCCCGACCAAGTACCGCGCGACTGCGCACGGTATCTCGGCCGCATGCGGCAAGTGCGGTGCCATCGCTGCCTCTTTCGGCTTCAACTCGCTCGTCGGTCCCATCGGCACTGCGAACGTCCTCTGGATCTTCTTCGGTGTTTCCATCCTCGGGATACCGTTTACCTTCCTCCTGCCTGAGACTAAGGGCCGCGACCCGGACGTCATCCTCGCCGAGGAGGAGAAGCGCGGTCTTGCTCCTATTTCCGTATAATGGATTCACCGTCTCCCCAGATCAAAAGGATGACGACCGACCCGACCCGCTGAGCGGCCCGAGCCCGCAAATACTTGTATATCATGCTTTGTTTTCCCTTGTGTACGAGAACCTCATGTCCTCACACGCACGCAACTACTAGTTCTTCTCGTATTTCCCGCAACCCCCAACCCTAGATAAACGCATGTATCAAACCCCATCTAAACTACTTAGGTGAAAAAATGCTACATTGTCTAATTGTCTAATGCTCTTTTCCTGCCTCTCTAGGACATCCTTATCCTGATCCAGATACTGATCTTGAGCCCCAAAGAGCGAAGTGGTCCATCTAGTCCCAACGGGAGGAAAGAGAAATTTCGAACCAGACCACCGGCAAACCTTCGCGGTTGTACGGCAAGAGAAGCATGCACCCCATGCTCCACTCGGAAGAGACTCTCGGGTATCGATCTTCCCCAGATCCCCGGAACCGGCAGAAGCACATGCTGAGTGGAAAACAAATGGCGTGGCTGTGCAGAGTTGGCGCCGGTGCGGAAATCTTTAACTCGTCGTTGTCGGTGCTTGAGACTAGCACTTGTACTGCCGCTGCTCGCTTGGCTTGTGGGCGCTTGTGCGCTTGTTTTACGGCTCGGTTCCTGTTGGCCTTGTGCTGTGGACTGTGCTGTGGACTGGGGATTGGGGACTTGCAAGCCGTCGGTTAAACTCTGCAACCTTGTGTGCTTGTGTTCCTTGTGTTGCCTGTGCTTGTGCTTGTGTGCAGACGACAGAGCGCAACCGGCATGGTCCTGTTTTTCACTTCTACCGGTGAGTCACCCAGTACTGGAGCAAGGAGCACGCTCTAACCGCTCCTATCGGCTTGGTGGGGTAGCGGTCAACCCGCCCGCGACGATCTACATGGGGAAAGACAAGGTCGAGAGTATGTCCCTCCCCCCTAACCCCTGACCCCCTCCCTCTCTCCTGGCGGGACGCTAACAACAGCGTATGTAGATGAGGACCTGATCAAGTACGGCACTCCGCAGGATGTGTGGTTCCACGTGGATAAGCTCTCCTCTGCTCATGTGTACCTCCGGTTGGGGGAGGGGATGTCCTGGGAGGAGATACCCGAGGCGCTGCTGAAGGACTGTGCCCAGCTTGTTAAGGCGAACTCTATTCAGGGTGCGTGTGTCTTTTACTTGAGGGAGAGGGAGAGGGTGCTGAGCGTTTGATAGGGAATAAGTTGAATGACCAGACGATTATCTATACCCCGTGGGATAACATTAAGGTACGTGTTGGGCTGGGCCTGAGCTGTGCGGGGGAACTGAAAGAAACTAGAAATCGGGGGATATGGCCGTTGGGCAGGTATCGTTCCACCAGCCTAAGCGGGTTAAACGAGGTACTGTTTCCCCCACCTCCCTGGGGCAGAGAACTCACATACGAGGATAGTGCACGTCGCTGCCCGGGAGAACGCTATCGTGAACAGGCTGAATAAGACAAAGGTCGAGAGGGAGGTGGACCACGAGGCTGAGAGACAGGCTAGGTTGAGGGTCGAGGGCCAGGCAAGGAAGGCCGCTGCTCAAGAGAAAGTTCGTCCTTCTCTACCTTTCTCATTTTCTGCTGTTGTTTACCGAGAGATGTAGAAGAAGCAGGAAGCGGAACTGGCGAAGACCCGGGCTGAGGAGAAACAAGCTAAGAGCTATGATACGTTGTTTACGGAGGAAGCGGGGTATGGTGTGGATAAGGAGGGGTATGACCCAGAGGAAGATTTTATGGTGCGTTCGTGCGTTGTTTTCATGGTGAAGGCTGATGGAAGGCAGTAAACTTGGGAGTGTATGGAGCAGCGTGACGGGGGATCCGGAGCGCGGGAAGGGAAGAGGGAATGGATGCGGATCCGGCCGAAAGGTGGATCGAGGAAAGATGAGGAATTTAGAGAGTTGTTTAGGATCGTATTTATTTTTCCGCTGGTCCAACGTTAACGTACGGTCATCACTTTTCTAACCGGGCATGCTACAGTACGAAAGCGCGTTCCACCAATATTCTGGGGTGATCAAACCGATGCTTTCCTGTAGTTTACCTTCCCAGGGTCTCGGACCGAATGGAGTTCTGCCTCCGGGGCTTCTGGCCACCAAATGCTTGTAATGTTCCCTTCATCTTTGTCTCCCCTTCACCAGCATAATAAATCAGTGTAGTGATGCGCGAAAACCAGCAACCCGAAGAACGCTCTGCGTTGCTATCTCAAGCTATCGACCTTTGCACAAACCTTTGTGACATCCTCGAGCGTTTCGGACCTTCGCGCTTCACTCAATCTGACCATCGACCTGCGGTATCGAAAGTTTGCGAGCTGGAATCAACGCTACACGATCGACTTAGGCAACTCGATGAGAAAAGGAATGAGGCACTTGCTCCCGTATCGCGCCTGCCAGACGACATTCTACGACTCATTATTCAGCACGGGCACCATGACGAGCCACTGGAGGTCTATCCTATCAGGACCAGTCTCGTACGACGTGTTTCCCACATGTCCCGTCGCTGGCGCGCGATCGTGCTCGATATGGCCAGCGTATGGACGTACGTTCGGTTTTCCAGCCAGACATACTCTGCAGAGGAGTTCAAGCCGATCCATCCTTCGTCCAGGCGAGTGAGAGTCCTCAGTGAAATGTATACCTGCAACCGCGAGCGCTCGAAGCAGTCACCGCTCAAAGTGGAGCTACAGCTTTCACCGCCTCCTGTGGTGTCGACGATGATAAAGGCATACTTGCAAATCTGCTCAAACGGCGTCGCAGAGCTCAATCTCTCGGTGGATACTTCAGCCCCAAATGGTGTGAACGCGGTCATTCCATGCATCACTCACGCAAGTAAAACCTTGCGTTGCCTCCGGATTCGTGTCCGTGATCCTCTTTGGGACAGGGGCAAACCCGAACCGATGAAAGCGCTACTTGCTTGCGACCTTCCTCGGCTGGCAGAGGTTGAATTACACTCCTTTCGCCTCCCAATCGTCCACCGTCCCGAGTACACCGCCTTCCTCCGATGTCGCAGTATTCTGCTGGAGATGACCTCGGAGGATAAGTACAGGCCTGCAGGTCTGCTTGCACTCCTCAGTGGTGTTCCACAGCTCGAAAAACTGCATGTGAGCCTGCCCTGGTCGCCTAACCTCGACGTTGCCAACGCTGAAGTGCAATTGCCGCACCTGCTGCTACCAGAACTCCGCAGTATCAGCTACCATTCAGCACTTCGCCCTCGTGACACGTTCGGACGTCTTGTCGCGCCAAAGCTCGAAAGTCTCTCGGTGGATATCTACGAGTTACAGCCATCTGAGAGACAACCCTACGTCACCGAACTGCTAGAGTTTGTTGTTGGCTGCTCGGCCTCTAACGGCGCCCCTCCGCCGATGACGCAGTTCACAATACAAGGTGGAAGACTGGAAGGTCTCGAAAGAATACTCCGTGTTCTCCCCCAAATAGAAGTTCTCCGAGCCCACGTGGATTACGAGGGGATCATTTGCCTGCAGCCGGTTTACCCTGATCTGTTGAGCCAGTTAGTGCCAACCGAATATTCGGCGAGCGAATCTGAGGAGGTTGCCGGATGCCCACCTCTTTGCTCACAGTTGAAAGTCCTTGGCTCCCTGTCATACGCGACAGGACGCCACATCCAACGGCTGACGACCCTCGCAGCACACCGTCGTTCCTGTGGGAATCCTCTGACTCGGATACGCATGACCGATTGGGAGCCCGTCTCAAACCGTACATTGGGGATGCCAGATGAACCGTCAGAGCAACACAGACTTGAGAAAGAACTAGCGAAGGAGGTAGAAGTGCTTGAGTGTGGAGAGTTCAGATGGGAATGGAAGGAGGGTGGTCGATGGCGTAGGGAGGGAACAGTCAGAGGGAGTGACTGGGGAGAAGATCAAGGACGGGTTCCCGGATCGTGATATTGTCAAGGGGAGCAACACGGTATGATGTCCTAGTTATGTAACTTTCTTTCGGTCCAAGTCTGGTGTACTCTGAAGATCAGTAAAGATGAGGAATTTGGATGCTTATTTAGTCTTTATCTTTCCCTTCGTCCAATGTCCGCTCATAATTTTTCTAACCGGGCATGGTACAGCTCACGAAAGCCGCGCCCGCTCCACTCACGCACACGATGCTGTGCTGTTGGGGTTACCTTATCAGGGTTGTGTATCTTCCCTTCACCTGTGCCTGCCCTTCATCTTTGTTTCTTCTTCGAGAGTATAACAAATCAGTGAAGTGATGTGCAAAAACCAGCAACCCGAAGAACGATCTGATTTACTATTCCAAGCTATCAACCTTTGTACAACCCTCTGCGATGTCCTCGAACGTCTCGGTCATTCTCGATTCACTCAATCTGACCATCGACCCGCGGTATCGAACGTTTACGAACTGGAATCAACGCTACATGATCGACTTAGGCAACTCGATGAGAAAAGGAATGAAGCACTTGCTCCCGTATCGCGGTTGCCAGACGATATTTTACGACTCATCATTCAGCACGGGCATGATGACGAACCGCATGAGGTCTATCCTATCGGGATCAGTCTCGTGCGACGTGTTTCTCACACGTCCCGTCGCTGGCGCACGATCGTGCTCGAGATGGCCAGCGTATGGACGTACATGCGGTTTTCCAGCCCGGCATACCTTGCAGATGAGGACTTCAAGCCGATCCATCCTTGCTACGGAAGTGCGAGGGCGCTGAACGACATATATACCTGCAACCTCGAGCGTTCCAAGCAACACTTGCTCAAAGTGGAGCTACAGCTTCTACCGTACTATGTGTTGCCAACGATGATGAAAGAATATTTGCAATTCTGCTCAAACCGTGTCGCAGAGCTCACTCTCAAGGTGGATGCTGCAAGCCCAGACGTCCTGAAGGCGATCATTCCATGCATTACTTACACAAGGAAAACGTTGCGTTGCCTCCGGCTTGAACTCCGTCAATCTGTGGGCCTACCTGCGCCGACCATGAACCTACCTGATATGTTTGGGGAGCTACTTTCTTGCGACCTTCCCCGGCTGGTCGAGGTTGAGTTATACTGGCTTCCCCTCCCATTGGGCCATCGCCCCGAGTACATCGCTTTCCTTCGATGTCGCCGTTTGCTGCTGGAGAGTAATCCCACGGACCAGTACACGGCGGCACGACTGCTTGCACTACTCAGGTGTGCCCCGCAGCTTGAACAACTCCATTTGAACACGCTCCTATCACCAGACTTCGAAGTTGCCGATCCCGAAGTACAATTGCCGCATGTACTGCTACCAGAACTCCGGAGTATCAGCTGCAGTTCCACATTTCGTGCTCGCGACACGTTCGGACGTCTTCTCACGCCAAAGCTCGAAAGTCTTTCGATGAATGTTCGCGGTGGGTTTCAGTCACATGAGAGGCAAGAAACCTACGTCGCGGACCTTCTAGAGTTCCTTGCCGCGTCCTCGGTGCAGAATGGTGCGCCTCTCCCCGTGAAGCAACTCACCATAGAAGGTCCAATACTGAAGAATCTCGAAAGAATAGCCCTTATCATCCCGGGAATAGAAACTCTCCGAGCTTCCTTTGATCACGAGTGGGACTTTGGCGAGGAGCAGGACTACAGCGAAGTGCTGAACAAGTTGGTGCCAACCGAGTACTCGGCGAGCGAATCTCAAGACGTTGCCCAATCCCCACTTCTTTGCCCACAGTTGAAAGTACTGGAGTCCCTGTCATTGGCAACACCACGCCACATCCAATCGCTGATGACCTTCGCAGCCCGCCGTCGTTCCTGTGGGAATCCTCTGACTCGAATACGCATACTCGATTGGGCGCCCGTCTCAAACCCTACATTGGGGATGCCAGCAAATCCGTCAGATCAATACAGGCTTGAGAAAGAGCTAGCGAAGGAGGTCGAAGTGCTTGAGTGTGGGAATTTCAGGTGGGAATGGACGGAGGGTGGTCGATGGCGTAGGGAACGAACAGTCAGGCGGAGTGAGTGGGGACGAGATCGAGGGTGGTTTTCAGCATGATAATGTTGTCAAGGGGGCATGGAGTTGGGGTGTTCGAGTTACAGATCGACGGGGCGATGCAGGGTTTACGGAAAGATATGAAGTTGGTGGGCCAGTGTAAACGGGACATAAACTATACCTCAGTCTGTTATTCTAATCATACCTTCTGCAAGTCTTCCGCACTATCCGGGGCTTGTCGGTCCGAAAGGACTGAATAATAAGACGTTGGGAAGTGCTCCGATCCATGGAGGTCTGTAAGAAGATATTTTCAGTTGTTACTCTCCCGGATCCGCGATCTTGTCATTGTTGTTCTGGCAACAAATAAGTCTGCATGGGATCGAAGGCGTATATATGCGGCGCAGTCAAGAAGAAAGCCGTACAGCATAACATGCGCAGTGGGAACTCCCTTACCGCGTGCACAAGGAAATACTTCGCAATTGAATACTTCACGGTTCTTCACTCACTCACCTAGTTTGCACCGGAACCTTCATTCAGATGAGAAAGACCTGCTACGCTGCAGTCCTTGAACGAGGTTTATCATTCCGCTCCCGAAGTCAAAGGGCTCGGAGCCAAGCGGCATTCAAACTCCGGATATGTTCTGGTATGTATGACCAATAGTGATCACTTTCGAGGGTATTGCGCTGGAGATAAATGCGCCAAATCCAATTGTCACTATCCCTGCTTTGAGAGAACAAGAGATTGTTGAGCAAGAAAAGGGTATCACAAACCTGAACCTCAGCATCAGCATTGTGTGTGTGCATGATGCTCAGAGGTGATTATGGATATGGAGAGTAAGGATTGATCCAACTATCATCTAGAAAATAGTACAAGTAGAGTAAAGAATAAAGAATAAGGAACTCCACTCTGCTATCACCATTTGCCCTGGGGCAAGATGATGGTAAAAGAGAGAGATGGGGGAGCATGTATGCATCAGGGTCCTATGCTACATGCACCCCTCACTGCTCCTGTGTCATGTGTGCATGGTGAGGACTCTAACTGCATGTCCCACTGTCACAGCATGACTGCAGCAAAGCAGACTATAGTCATGTCTGTACACATAGTTGATACAGTCTCTGGGTCAGGTCTGCAGCACCATTCCTATGTCTGGAGTGTGCATGCTCTGGCTTGTGCTCTCTAAAACCACATGCATCAGGAGAGGAGCCTTCATGTGCAAGGAGCCACACTGTGAGGGAGGGTTGCGAAGCAACAAGTCCATGGACCAAGAAGACTACCTCAGATGTGATCCAAGAGGGATAGAGCATGCCAGTGGACAGTGTTACTAGACCAAGGTACAGACTGCACAGATGAACTGGAGGATTGCACAAGGTGAGGAGCAGACAACCAGGTAGAGATGGATGTGGTGAGAATTCAGACTAGCTCAGAGCAGGGGAGGTAATGAGGATCATTCAGCTGAGATACAGTTGACCATGAAGGATGTCAGTAACTGTATAATGCACAAAACGTATAAGAAGTGCACCTTTGTAACCAAACTGATCAAGGTGCCAGACTCAAAAACCAAATCTCCACACAGCCCAACTTCTCTGAACTTGTAGATGGTCTAACAACTGTGCCTTTTGCATCTTGCTCTGAGTCTTCCTGTTCATCTTCATTGGGCTCTAGTGTCAGGGCACCAGCTCATTGCTTGGTCAAGAGACATGACTAAGCCTTTATGACATGGAAGTAGCTGGTATACCTTGGTGTGTGCTGGAACCTGCTGGAAGGATTGGATGGTCAGGTGACCTGCTGTGCATGGCTGTGCATGACCTCATATGACCTCATCCTTGGTCATATGACCTGATCACCTGACTAGGCTGAGTAAACAAGAT